ATGTGATAATTATTTAATGTTATTACGTCGTTATATATGCAATCACTTTGACATTTTACAAGATTAATTAAATTATTAGAAATAAAGACATTATAGAAGCATTAATTGCAATAGACAAACAAATTTAAATAATCACTCAATGAACAAATCTGTAATCTTAGTGACTAATGTCAATATTTTTTACGGTCTTAGTATTGCCTAACTCTATTGATGTTTAATTATTTTCTCGTAACACCTCAAATTCATGTTTATGATCTTGTTATGAAATTCAGACAACTAAACTCTTGAACTAGTTTGTTTTCTCGTCATATAAATGTTCAATTTTTGATCAGTAATATTTGCTTCCTAATTTTGACATTGATTTCCACAGCCGTAGTCAGCAGGTTACTCAAAATAATAAAATTATAGGGAACATTTAAAATAATCTTAAAATTTTAAATATTACTTTGTGACTGCTAGTATAAGATACATGTAAACACTCCTATTTAATCAGTGAGCTATATTCTTGTAAAAATGAATATGATGCTGAGTAGTGCGTTTGGTGTCTGTTTAATCAATAACAGTTCCAAGCCAGTATAACTAAGTTATATAAGTTAGTTTTGCGACCAGAGACAACTGATAAATGATAACTTACTGATGATCAACTTATCAGTCCTCTTATATTAATCTGATCATCTTTAAAGGGGTAAACTTCACAAAATTATATCTGGCTGTCTGGAAGAAGGAGTGGTCATATATCGAAACATACTTGGCTTGTTGTATCTTATTCATGGTATGCAATTTCTTATCATATTTCAAATAATTTTCGAAATAACATTATATTTCCTATGAGCAGTTTGAGTCATAGGAATAAACTTGAACAACTTACGCATTCGAAAAATAGTACATTCAACCACTTCTCCAAGCTTAACATCCATAATGATCAAAACACTGCCAATCAAGCTGCTTTGTTCAATGTTTCCTTTTACTTCCATCGATGTTGGTAATACCTCTAAAACTTATTTTGTTCAATTATCGATGCACTCAATATAAACATCATGCTTCTACTTTTCACGGTATTGTTACTAAAGCTAACTCAGTTATAGATTTTTACCAATTTTTCTTGCAGTCACATAACTTACACCAAAGTTTTTACAACCGACTACCATAAGGTATATATTATCGTACTTAAACTACCTAACATAAAGATTAGGGGACTACTGGAAAATAGGAGGCACTAATGAGGTATTTCATCCTAAAATGAAGCTTTAGTCAGTAAATACATGAGACCCTACGCGAGATAGAAGTCAGTACCTTAAGTTTTCGTGTCAATCAACGAGGTGGTACTTAATGGTTCATATTTTAAATTCTATTTGATTCATTGTCAGTTACATCATCAAATAATTTTATTGACAGCTTAGTTCCTGTGCAATCAAATTACATTTTCATTCTTACGTCATAAAATCATCTATATTTGAAAAAATAACTCACCGTAGAATAAATCACAAAATTATTTATTTACCCCCCAGTAGATACTGCTTATAAATGGGTATATTATTACTCGACAATAATATGAATGTATTGTGTGATAAATTTATTAGAATGTTTTATTTTAATGAACAAATAGTCTCTATTATAGACCAAAAGGACAATCTGTCCACTTAATTAACCAATTGATTTCAAAGGTCAAATGTGTGATATATTTATACAAATCCAAATCTTAGGCATGTGATAACCTTGAATGCATTCAGATAAACGTTTGTCTAGTTACCACTTTATGCTTTAATAATAATGTCAGTCATATTGTAACTAAGTACACTGGAGATTAGTAAAACATTATTTACGTGATAAAATTCGTAACAAATATTATAAAAAATTATTGTGTACAGCCATTAAGCAATTATACTCTTAGAATATAAATTAAAAAAGCTGTTCAATTAAAAAAGTCTCGTTCTTAAAACAACACTTTTATTTCCAGAAACAGTGTAAAATATCTCAAATCTCACTCTGTCAACTTCTAGTTCCGATTGCCAAACTGTTTTAATTTCACGCTTTAGTTATTACTCATTACTATCGATTTCTTTATTATAAAATGTAAGTGTATCTTAAGTGCCTATTGATTCCTCAAATCAACCTTTTGGTTCCTCCCTATTCCAAATTTTCTCATACATGGTGCTCTGCCGATTCACTCATTATATAATCTACCTTCATTCTATAATCACACCTAGTAGAAGCTGAAAGTTACATACAATTAACTGGATAATGAGGCCAGTTATTATAGATCCGATTTGAATTTATGTGGGGATCAATAGCATTTTCTACATTATTGTCGTTTGTAGATCACTTCTTCAAGACTAGTAGTTCAACCTATGCTATGCTATTTTGTTAACTGAAGGAAATCACTGCAGATTTTGGTATTTTGATCTGATGAAATTTGCTTATTTATACTACATTGAAAATCTTAACACTGTTTGCTGTAAAACGTACTGAAAAAGCTTTGCATTCTATATTCTTGTTAAAACAATCAATTGCCTATGACGTGGATTTAAAAGTCTTGATTATTGTAAGAAAGTTGGTTTAATATTTTTCGAGCTATTTGTTAATTTTAATCACAAAGAACGTCCACTGAACACTGTATAATCAAATTTCAGGAAATCTTCTTAGTGGAAAGGAATATTTGTACCGAAAATGTAACTTATCTGAATATGTTTTTCGCTCACTTCTTTTAAATTTTAATGTCACAAAATGATAATTAAAAAAGTGAACAAAATGAAAACTTTTGTACTGGTAAAAGACGGCAAAGAAGACAATGTAAATTTTCGAGAATTGTAACTAACTTTGAGTAACTTACTTTCTTACGCCTGTTACTCCTAATGAAATATAGGCCGCTGACCAGCACTCTCCAACCCACTCTGTCCTGGGCCTTCTTTTCTAGTTCCATCCAATTCTTCTCATGTCTATCTCCGTTTCCCGGCGTAATGTGTTCTTTGGTCTTCCTCTTCCCCTTCGACCCTGAGGATTCCATGTGAGGGCTTTTCTTGTGACGCAGTTCGGTGCTTTCCTCACTGTGTATCCTGTCCACTTCCAGCGCTTCTTGCTCATTTCTTCCTCCACTGGGATCTGATTTTTTCTCTCCCACAGTAGGTTGTTGCTGATAGTGTCTGGCCAACGGATCCGAAGTATTTTGCGTAGACGGCTATTAATATACACTTGTATTTTCTAGATGTTGGCTTTCGTAGTTCTTCAGGTTTCCGCCCCATACAGTAGAACTGTCTTGACATTTGTATTGAAAATTCTGACTTTGGTGTTGGCTGCCAATTGTTTTGAGTTCCAGATGTTCTTCAATTATAAATATGCTGCTTTGCAAGAGCCTGGAGCCCCTCTGGGGCTAGTGCCAATCCCAAGCTCGGAAAAAGGAGAAGCGTTGGGCATGGAATTAGTGACTCTATCCCGTAGAATACTAACTCGCTAAAAAACGCTAACCAGAGAAAATTATTCAAACTTCGAGTTACGTCATTCAAAATCTCTAATTATTGATTTCTAGCATCCTAAGGACTTCAACTGGCTTGTCTATATCACACAAGCATTATGTGGCTTTATTAAAAAACACTGTCTCTAAATAATGTTGTAAATGAGTATTCTATATTTCTGATAGTTTAGTTTCCCTGCACTTATTGAAATCTATGGTAACAAGAGTGAGTATGTATATTCATTTAATGTGAACTGAAGATTATAACCAGAAATCAATTAATATGAAATTCGAACAATCTGAAGTACAGTAAGATAATTCTATGAGGATTTATGAAAGATTCTGTTAACAAATGTTTGATAAAGTTAAATGATCTTTAATTACAAGTACATATCAATTGTTAAATAGGTAAAATGAGTGATCATAGTCATCCAAACGCGACTTAGAATCTGGCATGTGTGTCCACCTCTCCATGTTACTACATTCCATTAGCACAGCAAAATGAAATTGTCAAGGTAAATCTCAAAGCAGTAGAGATAAGAACAGTTTTAGTGGTCATAGAAAACGATGAATTATAGTATGATTCAAGAACGTTTTTAGTACAATAACTAGAAAGTGTAGTTATAATTCACGATTACTCTGTTAGTCTATTCATGTAATAAAATCTTATTATTCAGTTAATTCGATTCTTTATTCATATATCTTCTAATAATTAATTTTTTACACTCATGTTATCATATGTAATAATATCTATTTTTTTAGGTATTCTGTCGAGAGGAAAATCAATCGCTTTAAGAAAACTCCTTGATTTTTATGGGAGTTATCACTATGAATCTATTTTAGCGTCTTTAATTTTCTTTAATCTAGTAAATTTCATCTAAATATATTCTTTTTCCCAATGTCATCAATTAGTTATTTCAATGGTTGAATTCATAAGTCAATTGGGGCTAGACCACTGTGGAAAACCTAGAAGCACTGGACGGCCGTTTCGTCCTAGTTTGGTACTCCTCAGCAGTGCGCATCCACGATACCGCCCTTCTCCCCCGCGAGGTTCGAACCCAGGACCTCTCAGTCTCGCGCATGAGCGCTTTACCATTAGACGACTGTGTCAGAATCTAACGGTGTTAATGTCTAACTTTAACCAATCCACGAAATTACGCCACCGTCACTATTGTCTTCAGTGAGCTTATATCTCACAACAGACCTGGTTGAACTCCACTGGTCACTGCTCCTCACTAGAACTCCAGGAGTGTCTCCTGAATTCAGTCACTAGTGAGCAGATGATTATTATAAAAAGAGGTTTTTGTGGAGATGCGCACTGTTGAGGAGTCTCATACTAAGATGGAACGGCCGTCCAGTGCTTCCAGGTTTTCCATGGTGGTCCAGCTTCAATTGACTCATGGTTTCAACTATTGAAGTTACTGAAATCTCCACAAAACCCTCTTTGATATTAATTAGTTAATCAATTCTTCTTTTTTTCTTCTAGATCTTCACCTTACGGAAAATAGACGATTCTTACATATACTGTAATCTCTATTTTCATGAGTACTAATTCCTTGGTTAAGTAAATGTTCAATTTAATTACAATATTGAATGATAATAATAATAACAGTGCAAAATAAATTCAACAATTATATGGTCTTTTGAGAATAATAATAATAATAAATCTATTGACTTAAGTGAGTCAATCTATTTACAATTGAATTAGAATAGTAAAGAAAGAAATGTAGACATAACATCTTCAAGAAAAGTGAATGGCCAAAAGGGAAATGGAAAATCTATTTAATATACAACAGTCGAAATATCGAAATTGACATAAAGAAAATAAAGTAACTGAACAGTAATGATAGTGTGCAATTTTAAGGGAATAAAACAAGAATTTGAATAGAATGTAACAATAAACGAAGCAACTCAACTAACAAACACAACAATAATGAATTAAAGTATTCAGTAAGAAAGAAAACCCGCTATGGAATGAATATTCAAATGAACTGTCAAGTGTATTTAAAATCCACCATCTATTGCCTTTGATTTTCATAGTCTTCTTTTGTGTATAATTTGAACTGATCATTGCTATTTCTCCAGCAGTTGAACAATATCATCGAAATGTCGGAGTTTCGCTTCATCTAATGCACTTGTACCCCATATTGTTCGACATTTTGGATCAACACCAGCACCGTATTCCAGTTCTGTTTCTCCTACATTGATCTTCTCTTTATCGCGAAGGTTTTCCTCATTACATATTGGTGAGATGAGAAATTTAATGGAATTCAATTGCCGATGTGTAACAGCTACATGTAAAGCTGAACGACCTTCTTCATCCATATTCTTTCATGAATAGAAAAACAAGCGTATAATTCTATAAGTTTTTATAAAAAGCAGTAATAATAATGGATATGACAATAAAAAAGCGGTTACTTCATGGACAAGGTACTGCTGATGAATAATAAATAAATTTTATGAAATATAACATTTTCTACTCATTTAGTAACAGCGTAACTATTCGTGTAATATGAAACTCACCTTCATATCCTTCCAAATAAATGGATGAGTATGACAGTGACCAATGTGAACGAACAGGTTATCATCATTAAGGTGGAAACAATAAAGTGAATTGTTAAATTAAAATAGGTTTATCAGAAGGTGCTTTGTGGAAATTTTAGTAATTGACTCATGAATTCAACCATCAAAACAAGGTTTATTTACTTTTGTAGGCTAGTTATCCAGCTACTAACAATATATTAAGTAGTATAAAATATAACGACTTATTTCATGAGAGTGTATATTACAAACAACAATCATTTATTATCACTTCATATCCACTTCATCACAACAATAGAGAGTCACTCATACCACTCCCTAAATGCTTATTATTGTGCCTGAATAAGTGATTAGCAATGATCGACAAGTCTATACCATGTAAAAATATCTCGATATTTTTAGAAATTGCTTTTTGGTAATAACTTATAGTAGTGACCGACCTTATGAAGTGTATACCTTCTGATTTTGAATTCATCAGTAAAAAGTACATGCATTTACACATTTGGTAATAAGGAAATATATATTTCTTCCAGCCTCAGTACTCTCAACACTTGTAACCTCTTAGATAGTGTGCAAATAAAGTGATAAAATAGTGAAAGAATTTATATCAGGTCTTGCTTATATTCAAAGACAAAGGTCTTTTCACTTGACCACAGAAAGTTTGAGGTTCTTAAATAACTCTAGAATACACATGGAAATTTAAAGTGGTTTATGAAATTGTTCAGCCACATTATTGAAATATACAAGAATACTCAATTAAGGAATTCACCAAAAACAAATTGATTGAGCAGAAAAATTTTTAAATATTTCAATTCTCCAAAGCAATTTGATAGATGTATATTTACATCATTCCAGAACTTCTTAATTCGAAGCAACATATAATGGACTGCTTAAATATCATAACATGATCCTGAGTGCAAGTTACACTGAGAATAGCACACCTCTGTAAGTGGTTTTTAATAAGACATCTTCTTTCATTATCATCCTCTACGTTTTAAAACAATTAGTCCCTTTGATAAATTTCGATAATTCAATGAGTGTTAACAGGAAATGGCAGTGGAAGGTTATTCAAAGAAATATAGTCCCACAAAATATCAACAGTTTTCCTGAGAGGTGCATTTGTAAATAAAGTGTTCACATCAAAGGAGCACATTGTCTTTGCCTTTATATTTATGTCCTTTAAGTATAAACGATATGTTGATGACATAATAATCATAGATGACAAAGTTGAAGACATAAATTACTTGTTAAAAGAATTCAATGGGAGTCAAAAGTACATTGCTCTTACATGTGGAGAAGAGAAGAACAACCAAATTTCTTTTCTAAACATCCTGATTAGTAAGAGAGATGATGGTTCCATCCAATGTGCTATATATAGAAAGCCAACATAGACAGGGTATTATCTTAATTTTCATAGTCACTGCCCTATTCATTACAAACGCGGTTTAATAAAGAGCTTATTCAATAGAATCAATCGTATTTGTACTAGTGATACTATTGAAGTAGAGATGAAGATCTTGACTGGTACGTTAGTGAATAATGGTTATTCTTTGAAGTTCATAAACCGCTGGAAGGGTTGCAATACGATTAGACCTGTGACGCTTCTGGCACCCAAAAAGTGAGTTTATATTACGTTACCATTCAGAGGCGACACAAATAGACTCATGTTGAAACGGAGACTTAAATTAGCTATCAACTGGACATTTTATGCAGCCCAACTTGTCATTATTGAGAAGACAAGGTCTATGTTTCACTAAAAGCCTAAACAGCACGTAAACGATTGTGTCACATCCCATTATGTCTATCAATTTACATGTATGTGTGAAAACACGTACATAGGGAGGAGCAATCGTGATTTGCAATTAAGGGTGGGTGAACACATACCAAAATGGTTGCAAAAACAAATGGATTCCAATGGTCAAATAAGATCACAGGATAGACAGACATCATCCTCCATTGAGAAACATTTGATTGAGACGGGTCATAAGGTCGACATCAAATCAGCATTTGTAGTGTTATACAAAAGCCTTCAAGGACGTGTACAAAGGTTTATTGAAGCCTTGGCTATACGAAAATTGAAACCCCCTTTATGTGTTCAAAAACAATTTTTCCTTACACTTAATCTACCCTGGTAATACTGATTTATTATCCAGAGTGGTAATCACATTTGTTTTGTGTACTTTAATATTTTTTCCTTTGTTATGACTTACCCTTAACCTGTCTAGTTGACCTTTTAATTTCCATATATAAATGTTAAAAGACTAATATTTGAATGAAGAACATTCTTTTCGATAAATTCTCGTCAGGTGTACTTTACCTTTAACCTGGCCATTTTTCGGATTATTAATTTGGATATATAATTGTAGAACCTGAAGAGAATTTATCGAAAAGAATATTCTTCGTTCAAATACTAGTCCTTTAATATAACGGGGATCTTTAAACGATATATAAATGTTCTTAACAAGTATATGTGTGATCAGATTGTTCGAAATGTATTGCGCAAATATATCACATAATTCTGATAAACTTCTCCTCTACGTTTTTTAGACAACCAATTAAAGACCTATTACTACTAACACTTTAGTTCATTATGTCTGCATAATAAAACAAAATGACTTACATAAAATGAATATCCACACAATTGATATAAGCGTAACCTTTGAATATCACCATTTGAAACAGCTTGATGAACCAGTTTAGTGACAAGTTGACTTTCAGAATTTAATACAGCACCAACATCTAATAATAACTGTACCAATTCAGAAGATAACATTAGACTATTTAAAGCACAAAGAAGTGGAGTATATCCACTTTTATCTGCAATATGAACCGATACACCACATTCTAATAAATATTTCGTCGCTGAAATATGACCATATAAAGCTGATTTATGCAGTGGTGTGCATCCTTCGGTGTCAAATAACTGGAAACAAGAAAACCAATAATTTAAAATGGATAATTTTTAACGTGTACAAGTGAACAACTAGGTTTAAATGTTACGTTCCAATTATTTACTAATTTATTTTTTAGTTAAAGTCGAAATCTATGGAACGTAAAGAACATACTTCAGACTTTAAACAAATTGAGAAACAGTTTAAGAATTTTTCCAAGTTTATCATATATCTGTTCTAGTAACAGGTAAAACTTCTTTGTCCAGAAAGTTTCAATCAATATTAATTACAAAAACATGATACCCTTTACTACATAGCAATAAATTTGCACAAAAATACCTCTGTTAAAGGAAATTAAGTGCAAATAAAATATACTAAAATACCATCAGTTTCATTTGATCTCTTTCAAAAGGGCTTGCTCGGAGAAGTGTTAAGTTAACCCAAAGAAAATCGTTCGACAAACAGATCAAGACTAATTTAGAGTGAATCACTACAGTATTCATTTATTGTTCAACATTGGAATTATGTTTCAGTTCATGGTTTTAAAAATGAGTGCTCCTAAACTTGTCAAGCGGACGCCCTCTTCATTTTCACCTTCATGAACATCAATTAGCAGTTAAACGCCGTGACATATCCTCGCTTATATGAATACAAGTGGACAACTGCGGACACTCAATTGACTGGAAAAATGTGGAAATCTCGGATAAAGGAAATTCCAAAAACACCAGAGAATTTTTAGAAGCTTGGCACTCAGGTCAATCAGCAATCAACAAGCACATTGAAATCGATCCAATTTATCAACCAGTCAGGAAAATTATGAAAAACCATAGGAACAAAAATCAAACTAATGAGAGATACTGTGGTGTGTGCTACTTTTATAGACATAAGTAGTATATAACGTTACTCGTGAACAGAATTCTGGAGGCAGAGAGACAAAAGGATCAAACAGTAAAGAATAGAAACAGAATGCAATTTGTATGAAAATGCAAGAACAATGAAGTCTGAGTCATTGTGAGACAACTGATGGACAGTTTGCAAATTAAGTATTTACTATATGATTGTTAGATTTTATTAACAAGTCCTTTAATTTTGTATCAAATACATTCGATTGTCCGCACTCGTGTTCCTGTTCACTACAATACAACCAAAACAAACAAGTAAACAATGACAGATTTAATGTCAATAAGAACCAAACAACATCGAGGTGTACAGAACAAGCTATGAAACGCATATGGAGAAATTCGGACGCTTCAATTCTATCTGAGGTTAGCGTTAATGATGTCGTTCAGAAGAACGATGAAAGCTCCAAGACCAAACCATCCGGTTCAGAGAAAAAACTCCATCAAAGTTACTATATTATCCACAAGACCCATTCTGATATTAAATGAAGTTTACACTACATTATTATAACATCAAGAACACAACTAAGGATGTAATACACACCTTCAGACAGCTAACTAAACGTAAAATATCTGTTATCATAAAATCAAGAAAATCCAACATCACGATTATTACGGATGCATCACATTATGAAAGAAAAAGTATGAGTCATCTTCATGATGAACTATACAAACGTTTCGGCAAAACGAAGTGTTAATCCAAATCACATAAAGAATAAGAGCTGAAACAAGCGAATTGCCATGGTCTGTGGAAACTGAAACTAGAAAACTCATTATAATTCGCTTTATTACTAAAAAACTGAAAACCTTGGAGATTTTATGAGTTCACGAAAACCTCTAAAGCGAATATATCGTTAGGACCTGCAGTTAACCATATAAAGTCGCCGATATGTATTCTTGCAAAATACCTCTCCACATTCCTAAATCATTTGCTAATAAACTAAACTATTAAAATTATAATTCAAAGAACGTTAAAAAGAAGATTAATGTAAATGGCATTAAAAATAATTAAATAATAAGTTCTTGTATGTTTACTTTTCATTTACTAGTACACCTATTGAGACACTGTTAAATATTATGTAAGAATATTTATTATGAGATACTGATTTTCTACTAGATCTTTGTCAATGAACATTTATGACAATTTGAACATATTTCAAAAACAATGATTCCTATTAGTAACATACACAGGATTAATGACCGAAAACAACCATACAATACCTTGTGACCCTATTTATTTACAGAAATTTTCATACACCCTTGAAAAAATTCTAACCGGATTTTTGGTGCAAGTTTAGGATTATTTACTTGTATTCGTTGAGATTCCTACAAATATAAAATACGCCCGATAGCAATGATTTTGTTATCAGTATCTGACAAATTAAGTGCAAAAGTTCATACGTTGTTATAATAAAAGCCACATTTAACGTACATACTTGAAAATGTTGAATTATTTATATTTTAAAAGAATCTTTTTCTCAAGTTCAGCCATATGCTTTATAGATTTTAGTGTAGGTATATGTATATAAGCGATAATCTATGCTTATGAACAATTCCAATAATGTTTGTTAAGAAATACCTTGAAGAAATTATCTACAATTAAATACAGTATTAATTTTTGTCAAAAATCTTTAGTTGTGAGTTTATGAAAATGGAAATCTAAAAACACGTCAGGTAAATAAATCACTAAATAGCGGAAAGGTAGTTAGTCTTAAAAAACGAATATTTTCAAAAAATATCGTAACTCTATCTTCCACAGGTAGAACTATCCAGTCGAGCAAAAAAGGTAAAAAGTCAGTACCAAATGAAAACGTCACGCATATACAGGCCTTCAGAACACTAACACTGAAAACGTCTATTACGAAGATCCCAAAAAAGTTAAATCAAACATCGAGAATGGATTGATTGTGTATTTGGTCGACCTCTCCAGATGTAGGCAATCTCATCTGACAATTTTTTACAAGAGTTGTTCATCAGTCAGTCAGTAACAACGTGGAACTTGGTACGTACGTACATCAGTTCGAGTTGCCATACCACATTAGCACAGAAATTCAGTTATCGATTCAAATCCCGTAGTGGTAGAGGTAGTGAAAGTATAAGTAGTGACAGGGAACATTAGGGTTTGATGATGTTATTTAAGGAGTATAGTCCAGTGCAACAGCTTTGGAAAGAAAATAAAGGACATGGAGAATTCAGAAGATTAGAGTTTGAGAGAACACAGAGAGTGGATGCACCTGAGCCATTGCAAACGATTTTGAGACATGTCACATAAGGTCTCTAACCGTCGGTTTCTATCATCTCGCTGTCCCCAACCAGGTAGTCTACACCTACCAACATGGCTCAGTCCAATTGTCAGTGACTTCATTGATTTGTGCCACGTTTTGCTTTGGCCGCCCCTACCTTTCTTCCAACCTACTCCTACATCATAAAACATCCGGGCAGTCGGTGGTCGGGCATACGTAATACATGTCCCAACCATCTCAACTGATTAGGTTTCACTACTTCATCAATTGATTTGCCATACTTACCTGGTACTCGTTTCCTAACAACTGCATTACTTACTCGGTGGTCCCAGGATATACGAGCGATGTTTCGAAGACATCTGTGATCAAATACCAGTAACCTACGAATATCCTCTACTCTTACTGGCCATGTTTCACTGCCATAAAGTAGGACGGAACGAACTCCTGCGCAGTAAACACGTCCTTTGGTTGATAGATGGATATCTCGCCTACGCCACAAATGACGCAAGTTGGCAAAAGCTAGTCGAGCCTTCTGTATCCCTGCTGAGATTTCGTCACACACCAGACCACAAGGGCTGATGAGACTTCCGAGATAAGTGAAGCGGTCGACACGCTCAACTACTCCACTCCCTATCACTAGATCGGGTGCCGATGCAACCCAATCCGGAAGCAACATTTTGCATTTCGAGGGAGAAAATCGCATGCCGAACGTGCCTGCATTGTTGCTTAGAGTGGTCAGCAGACTCTGCATTTTGTCAGCGTCTTCACCAAACAGAACTATGTCATCGGCATATTCTAAGTCAACAAGTGAATCTCCTGGTAGAAGTTCAACTCCTGGAAATTTAGATGAGGAAAGTGTTATTTCTAAAAGCACGTCAACGACAAAGTTAAACAAGAATGGAGAGAGTGGACAGCCCTGACGAACACCACTTGAGGTAATCAGTTCTGATGACAGTTCACCATAAGCTCTCACTCGATCAGTTGTGTTCGAGTAGAGAGCCTTTATAAGGTTAATGTACTTCTTTGGTACTCCTTTCAGTGACAAACACTGCCATAGAACCTCACGATCAACAGAGTCAAATGCCGCCTTAAGGTCGAGAAATACTATTATTGTGGAGCGTCTGAATGTGTGTCTATGTTCTAGGACCTGACGTAGTGTGAATATCTGATCTATACAACCACGTCCAGGTCGAAAACCAGCCTGGTTTTCTCTAGTCTGCTCTTCACGAGCTTTGGTTAGACGTCGAAGTATTATTGAAGCCAATATTTTAGATACTATATTAGTCAAACTAATTCCTCTGTGATTGTCACAAGAAGACCTTTGTCCATTCTTATAGACTGGCGAAATCAGTGATTGAGACCAGTTAGATGGGATTACGTCCAGTTCCCAGATTCTACCTAAGACCTCAGTCAATCTCGCTGCTAATACTGGACCGCCATCCTTAAAAATCTCAGAGTTAAACTTGTCAGGACCTGCTGCTCTCCCACTCTTCAGATTTCCTGTAGCTTTTTCAACTTCGTAAAGAGTCGGAGGATTTACATTAACTTGCCATTCAGGTAGACTGGAGATCGTGGGAAACCAAAGTGTGGCTGAAGGCCAGTTGAACTGATCCCCAAAGTGTTTTTCCCATCGATCCAATCTCCTGGATTGAGAATGAACAATATGTCCGTCTTGCTCTGAGATTGTTGCGCTAACAGTTGGTTTCCTAATACCGGTTTCCTTAACAAGTCTGAACAGTTGTCTGCTGTTACCTATTACCGCTGCCTTTTCCATCTCTCTTGCTTTCGCTACCCACAACTGTTCACGATCATTGCGTAAGCTTCTAGTCAGCTTACGCTTAAGCTGACTTCGCTCTTCGTTATGTTCAGAGCCAGATGGAGTGAGTTTCCGAGCATTTATCAGTGCGGTAGATGCTGCTGAGATCCAGTGTTTCTCCCTAACCTTATGGTTTACCGTACTTGCAGACATCACTGCTGTTTCTACAACTTTTCGGATGTCATTTTCACGCTGCCTCGGGGTGGGCATCAGTTACATAGCTGCCTAACTGTTTTTCTAGTTGTTCCTGAAATATACTCTTAGCTTGACTATCATTAAGTAGGACCCTAAGGGGTTTCTTAGCACCATCTTTCCTACGTCCAGTAAGACGTAGACAAATACGCGCTCGCACTAGAGCATGATCTGAGTCTAAGCATGTGCTTCAGAACGAGCGACAGTCTTCCATCGAGCCCCTCCATCGGTGGCTGACAGCGATGTGATCTATTTGGGTCCAACGTTGGGACCGATTAGGGGGTCGCCATCTCAAAAGATGTTTTTCCTTATGCTTAAAGTTAGTGTTTGCAAGAAACAGGCGGTTATCTGGGCATAGCTGCAACAGACGGTCACCGTTATCTGTTCTTTGAGCCGCGACACCATAAGATCCACCCAGGTGTCTTTCCTTTTCGCTTAGTTTACCTACTTGAGCATTAAAGTCACCAGCCACTATTACTACATCTGAACGCCTAGCTTTTCGGAGAAGGTCGGAAAGCCTTCTGTAAAACTCATCTTTTACATCATCTGAGCTGCAGTCAGTGGGAGAGTAGGCAGAGACAACGAACAGGCAACGACGAGTGTCCCTATCTTTCCGAGTCCTTACTGTTCCGTTTAGTCAGACAGCGCACAAACGACTGTCTACTGGGATCCAGTGTAAAAGAGCTAGTTCTGCCCCAGGACTCAATGCTATACCTACGCCAGCGAGGACACGGGAAGCAGCATCAGGGCTTCCAGATACACGGAGCGTAAATCGAGTTGGTTCGTTACTTTGACATGGTGAGGTCAAATGAATGGCGCTACTCGGATCCTGTATGTGCGTTTAGGAGACGCAGCACACATCGATGGAGCGAGATTCTAAAGTCTTAGCTAAGGAAGCCTGTTGTCCTATTTGGCACAGTGTTCGGACGTTGAAAGCTCCTATGTATAGTTTAGGGCGTGGTTTCAGGAGACCAGGAATAACGTTCCGCGTACTCGAATCGTTCACACTAGCGGGGCGAGGTGATAAAGGGAAGTGAGAAGGGTTGTTCGTGGAGATAAGAGAGTTATTCGGAGGTGTAGGAAGGATTTGAATGTGACCAACTTGGTCCCGTGCGCTGTTACGGGTATGAGGGCTGATGTCACTTCCCAGCTGCCCACACCGTGGAAGGGTATTTCTTGAGTAACCTGAAAAGGAAATCGGATTAGCGTTGGTCTTAACGACCTGGGTGCGTGACAGCAGAGCCCAAGGGACAACTGCTTGAGGCCGGTCGCGCACGGCCTTTTTGTGGGAGGTTTTTAATGTGTTAGCTCCGTTCTTCAAAGGGCCTTACCGCCGGAGACGGAAATCCGTGGGATAAGGCGAGGTGTGACATTTTAAGGGTCAACCTTTTCTAACCCCTTCCTTCCTTGTGAGGAGGCAGAATCGCTGCAGATGCTGGTTGTCCGAGGGATACACTTTACTGCTGTCACACCTCTGTACAGTCAGCAGTACGACTTCGCCCTCAGACATTGAGTTACTGCTTTTAGTCTTACCGTTCTCCAATCGACCTGCCTGGCATGGTAGAACCTGCAGGAACATGTGTTCCAGCCAATATAGCTCGGTTGGGTCATCACGATAGGCAAGCCCGACCACCATGTCAAGGTAGCAGCTACGGTCGAGTTTAAATTATTTCAACCGATAACAGAAACCTGAAAAATTTTACATCTAGTTTTGCCTAATTTGTATGGATAAAACAATGACACTTTCTAATCCGATTAAATAAGTAGGATAGCTGTAAAAATAGATTAGAGACAAGTGATCAATTTGTAAATGGTATATTGTTCAATCCAGCTAAATAAATAGAATATCAAAGGAAAAACGTGAAATGTTCGACTTCAAATGAAACAAAATTGTAATTAAAACTAAATTGTTTTGAGTATGATATCTATAGACTGCAGCACAATTATAAGTCCGGTTGTCTATTCCTGTGATCTCCTAGCTGATTCCCTGAAATAGAACAAGTTGTCTTAAGGTTGTGTGAATATGTTTTTGGGTACGATAAAACAAAAGACTGCGTTTATCACTTACTGTCACCAACCTCCAACCAAAAAAAATAAATTATCTTATGTTAGTTGTACACATAAACTTCAGTAAAATGGATATCTTAAACGTAATATTGATTTTCTTCGCATATGACAATCAGAAGTATCAGTTTGCATTTACTTTCAAATCACTGTTGGCAGTTCTAAGAAACACTAAGCCTAATTTGACACCTTTCTTGAATAAGATAATAACTTGTTCCATGGATTTCTGTAAAATAACTATATTATGCTGTGACTTTTTAGTTATCATATATAAGTTCGAAAATAATAAGAGTTTAAATAAGTATATACCATGGTGCGATAATGATACAGAAAACCACTGATTAATATTATTCGTCATTTTGATTCTCTTTAAATATTCAGTATCCAATCAAGTCAACTTACAACGATAAACATGTATCCCACATTCGACAACGTTTTACTCGGTCAGTCATTCATTTGTTCACTTATTTACTAATCAACAGGATTTATCTGAGTAGGAGTATATTTTAGTAAAAACTGGTATGCAACTCTACTCTAGCTAATTTTTCCAAAAATAAATATGTATTATGTTTTAAAAAATAATTGAGATGAAAATAGTCCCAGTAATGTTTTTTTCTCTATTTTAAATAATTAAATAGTAAGATGTACCTGTAAATGACCAATTATATGATACATTTCTTTTAAACATGACAAATTATTTGATGCAGCTGCACAACACGCAAGTGTCGGTATCATACGCTGAACCCACATTGAACCAATACCTTCTGAATCATCTAACGAAGCTGTTGAAAATAATTTGGCAAAATATATCATAAGATTTCTATCTTGATTGAAACAACTTATGTTATATAGTGATAAATTAGCTGCTCTAGAGTCTTCTCCTTCAACTGTCACTTCACCTCTTAAACTATTTAATAACATTGCACGTTTACAGGAATAATCTTTATTTTCTGTTTTACTCAATATATAGGCCAATTTGATAAGTGCTGCTTCAGTTGTCATATCCTATATTAACAATAAATATCATGATAAAAAAATAAAATAGGAAATATAAAGTAAATTAGTTGACACAATGAATGATGTCTAAAATGTAATAAAATGTTAATTGTTTATATATATATAGATGCAGTGAAATAGAACTCAGGTGGGGAAAACAAAGTTAATGTTTCATACAAAATAACTGAATGTCTTGGCAAAATATGGAAACTATGCATTTAAAACATTATTTGCACATTTTCCTTCCGTTGTCCTGTATGTGCTGCATAATTTTCCCGATTCTGTTGTTATTCTAACTGTTCTATGTTTCCCTTCCCGTTCTTCTCGATTCAACCGTCTGTTTGCCGTCATTCCAATTCCGTTTGGTGCTACATACTACTTACATCTGCCAGCATTAGTAGCATCCACCTCATAGGTATTAAAGGTTATAGCAGAATATTTCTACGTCAGTTCTTGATTGGTTGAGTTTCATTCAATTATTATTATTATTTACGGAAATCAAATCTTAATAATTAATTGTTCTTTTGTACCTCAGAAGAAAGTATTTGAAAATAACCCGTCATCCAACATTATGAGTTGTTGGTAAGTGTATTTATTGATTAATTACGCGTGTTTATTGTTGCAGGAAGGAACCCGTATAAATGTTGTGTAAAGAATAAGAATACTTATACACTTAGAGGTTATCTACTTTTACCTGGGAATTTTAAGAAAAATATGATTCACAAATACGGTCAAAATAAAGTCATTGTCTCCAAGATACAAAAACCCTAGCCTAATTACATGAATAATATATATACTGCATTCAAGCCGGTATCATGGTTTCAGATAAACTATCCTCCGAACAATATAGTTTTACTTCCATTTCCAATTCTTCTTGGTTTATACCAACGTCATGATACATGAATATAATAATTTTTAAAAAGGAAACTTAATACAACAAAATATGTTTTATTCAACAATAAACTAAGGAGATGCAAACGGGTTCATTTCAAGAAGCCTTCATTTAAACACACTACGAACTCAATGAGTGAAAGTTGAGTTCATTTAAAATTGACTGGGTTATAAAAATAGTTAAGCACACTACTAAGTTAAATTAACAGTGAAGGTTTACAGCAAATATTTGCATGAAATCATTTTGATTTATGTGTAGTTTGATATAGTGCTTATGCATACAACTTACATATCCCGGAGTTACACCATATTCATTGAGAACCATCCCAGTTGAATAAACTGCTTTAACGCCACCACGCCAACACTGTGTGACATTTACCATAAGTATACCACGTTCAGAAGCTTCTTTTAGTGCATCCAGTAGGTCCTGACGGGAAGATGGAATATTACCAGCTCCATATGTCCGAAGAACAACTCCTAAAATTTGAATAATGTTAACAGTGCCATAGATAGTCTATATGTATGCATATAATAAATAAATATCCGTCACTTCATGATACTTGAATCGTTTCTCGAAATTGATGAATCTCATTATATGGGGGACATCTTAGGTATTAAAAAGGCGAGACTAAGTATCTGTTCATGAAATAATTTAGCTTACATTCGGACTAGGCCAGAAAATACCTACCTCCTGCTTGAAGTTCACAAAACAATAGTAATTTACATTTAAAGATCTTAAGTGACTAGGCTCAATATCAGTTCACTGTTGCTACATTATTTGACGCTTCCAATTCATCGTTTTCGTGTGTTCTTATCCGAATAAATTATTTGCGTTTATTTTTTCACTATCATTGGTATTATATTTTCGAATTCTTAGCCTTTCATCTTGTAAATTTTCCCTTACTGTGTCAATTCAAAATGTACCAACTTGAACTGAAACACATTTGTAAAAGGTTATACAATGGTCATAGTTGATTGACTTGATAGTGATAATTTAAAACTATATATTAACGATATAAAAAGTGTCAAACTTTTTTATTGTATCAGTAGAGTAAATCAAATCATATAAGTAACAGAAGGATATATTATCCACTAGAATAAACTTTTTTTATCTACACGAATACGGAAAACGTGTCAAGACAGGAAACAGTTCAGCACATAATTAGACATACATATACAACATATGATGGTGATCGTCTGCTGCAATTGTACTCAGACAATCGTTTATTTTTGGCAAACACAAATTTTAAGCATAAGGAGAGACATCGTCTAACATGGCGACCCCCTGCACCAAATCAACGGTGGACTCAAATAGACTATATTGCCATCAGTCAGAAGATTGTCGCTCATTCTGGAGTACCTGTTTGGACTCCGACCACGCACTAATACGAGCACGCATCTGCTTGCACCTCATTGGACGCAAAAAAGCCACATTAAAAAGACCCATTAGAACTGAACTGAGTAACGAGAAAACCAAACGTAGGTTCCAAGAACAACTGAGGTCACACTTAGGTACTTCTGAAAACCAGGCTGACCCAGATGTTGCTTGGAAAGATATACGAACAGCTGTGGAAACAGCAGTGACATCTATTAGTAATTTAAACCACAGGGTTACAAAGAACCAATTGATTTCTTCAAGGTCTATTGCACTGATGGATTCTCGAAAACTCATCCCATCAGGTTCTGAACACGATGAAGAGCGTAAACAAATCAGATCTAGGTTAAGCAAAAGTCTAAAGAACAACCGTGAGCAGTGGTGGGCAACGAAAGCAAAAGATGGAAAAGGCGGCGGCTATAGGGAACACAAGACAACTCTACAGACTAATAAAAGAAACTGGAATTAATAAGCCCAGTGTAAGTCAGACTATTTCGGAAAGAAACGACACTGTCATCTGCTCCCAGTCCAGACGTTTAGAACGATGGGCGGAACATTTTAGAGAACAGTTCAGCTGGCCTTCAGCTACTCTACAACTACCCTCCATTCCCAGACAGTGTGAATGGAATATTGAAGTAGGTCCCCCAACTCTAGCTGAAGTTCAAAAGGCTATAGTTAATCTGAAACGAGGAAGGGCAGCTGGTCCAGATGGATTGGTTTCAGAGGTCTTTAAGGATGGTGGACTAGTTTTAGCGATTAAGTGGACTAATATTTTAGCTAAAATTTGGGAGTTAGACATCATCCCATCTAACTGGTCACAATCACTTATCGTCCCAATATATAAGGAAGGGTCAAAATCATCCTGTGACAACCATAGAGGGATTAGTTTAACTAGTATAGTATCTAAAATACTAGCCTCGATAATTATAGGACGCCTAACTAAGACTCGTGAACTGCAAACACGAGAGAATCAAGCTGGCTTCAGACCTGGTCGTGGATACATAGACCACATATTCACCGTTCGTCAGGTTCTAGAACACAGGCATACTTATCGGCGTCCGACAATGGTGGTCTTCCTTGACTTAAAAGCAGCATTTGATTCTGTTGACCGAGAGGTTCTGTGGCAGTGTCTGTCATTGAAAGGCGTACCTCAGAAGTACATAAACCTTGTGAAGGCTCTTTACTCGAACACTACTAGTCGAGTCAGAGCTTATGGCGAACTGTTATCTGCTTTTGAAACCTCGAGTGGCGTCCATCAAGGCTGTCCACTTTCTCCTTTTTTGTTTAACTTCGTCATAGATCTACTAATGGAAATAACACTCATCGATTGAATTCTCGGGCATTGATCTCCTGCCAGGAGGTCCACTTATTGACTTAGAATACGCAGATGACATAGTCCTGTTTGGCGAAGATGCTGATGAAATGCAGTCTTTTGGTAGCACTGGGCAACAATCCCAGAATGTTTGGGATGCGCTTCTTTCCCTCCAAATGCAAGTTGTTGCTTCAGGACTGGCCTGCGTCAACACCCGAACTAAGGATAGGGAGTGAAGTAGTCGAACGCGTTGACAACTTCACTTATCTTGGAAGTCTAATCAGCCCTAATGGGTTGGTGTCTGACGAAATCTCAGCACGGATTCGAAAAGCTCGTTTGGCCTTTGCCAAATTACGTCATCTATGGCGAAGGCGAGATATCCGTCTATCAATTAAGGGACGAGTATACTGCGCGGCAGTTCGTTCCGTTCTACTATACGGCTGCGAAACATGGCCATTAAGAGTTGAAGATACTCGTAAGTTACTAGTATTTGACCACAGATGCCTTAGAAATATTACTGGTATCTGCTGGGATCACCAGGTAAGTAATAGTGAGGATAGACGTAGGGTATTAGGGAATGATGGTAAATCAGTTGGTGAGGTTATGAATCTTCATCGACTGAGATGGTTGGGCCACGTGTTGCGTATGCCTGAACACCGATTATTACGACGCGTAATGCTTACTGGTGTTAGGGATAATTGGAAGAAAGTTAGGGGTGGCCAAACCAAAACGTGGCATCAGTGCTTGAAGACACTAACTTCTGGTCTGAGCCATGTTGGTAGATTCAGACTACCTGGTTGGGGTCCGCGTGACTATCGTAACCAATGGTTGGAGAGTCATGGTGACACGCTCAGAATCAATCACAATGGTGTCGGTGTATACACTCTCTGTCTTCTTTTAAACTAAGAGATTAAAATCACTTCAAATCTTTCTTTCTAAGAACTAATTCTTTCTTCCTGTACTATCTCCTTATATGCAATCTTTCTTTTATATATTACCACCATTGAATTAACTACTTCTATGAATCCGGCGTTCATCTTGTTGTGCTAATGAGGTATGGCAACTTGGACCGATGCATATACGTGCCTGGTCCTACGTTGCAGCTGACTGACTGACTGAATTTTTAAATTTATAATCGGTCATATATGAATAAAGAACTATTAGTAAACAAATAAATATGTAGTCGAAAGAAATGACCGATAAATTTTATCTTTTTTACCAATATCTCTGGAGTTAATTAATGGAATTCATTCATTGTACTTATCTAATTTACCAGTTTTTTCTACTTTCATTTCATTTAATAAATTGTTTAAAAACGAATCTGCTAACGCACTTATGCCTAAAATTCACTTGTATTGACTAAATAAGTTATCATTTATAAAAAAATGTTCTAATATGTTCTATTTTTAAAATAAATTAATAATTATTAACAGCTGAATTCACAAGTCGATCTAAGCCAGACCACCATTGAAAACCTGGAAGTACTGGACGGCTGTTTCGTCCGCAGCAGTTTTCAGTGATGGTCTAGCTTGGACTGATTCTTGAATTCAACTGTTAATAATATTATAATCTCCACAAATCCTTTTACTGAGAATAATTATTATTTCATTAACAATAAAATGATGTCTATTTTCAAAATAAATAAAATAAACATACCTTTAATAGGAGGTGCTAACATTGAAATAATATGTTCTTTAGATATTAATGGAAATATATTTAGTATTGCAACATCTTGACATAAATTTGTATGAACACAAAATGGTTTAGGTAATCCAGGTTTTCGAAAAATTAAATCATAATTAACGGTTATTTCAGTTCCTAATTCAGCAATTGCTGGATAATTTGGTGACTCAAATGCATCAAAATTATTACTCGAACATTTTACTATTCTAGAGCCACGAAATAACTAGATTTAAAGAAAAATAATTCAATTAAAAATCAATAGAAAAGAAAATAATATATAAACAATACAGAAAAATATGTAATAAGATGTTTCCATAGTTATTATCAAATTAATTAACAATAGGCTTCACGAATTATTTCTAAAAATTTTAAATCATATTATGATCTAAGGCTTAAACAATGAATGCAGTTTACTAATCAAATAATTCTGAATGGTTGCTAATTTTATGAAATTAACGTAACAACTAAAAGTATGTTTATGCTATTAAGCGACGAAAGAAAATTATAAAATTCGGAAAAAATTGAGGGGTCAATTAATTTTCTTTGTTTATTTATTAGATTTGATTCATGGATTTTTTAAATAACCCTGATTGTAAACTATCATTTGATTCATTAGATGTTGCTATGTCTCTTACTGTTGATTGCGCTTAGTAAATAATAAATTTATTACAGAGTTTCATGTCAGAAATGTTTTAGTTATATACATATTATAAATACTGTTCTTAGTGTTTTGTTGTCCGATGTTTGAAATTATATAATTCCATGAAGGTTGCGATTAAAACATACAGTGTACATGATGGGTTTCCTGATGTTCTAATTTCCATATGGGAATCAAATTTTAGTGCGTGAGGTATGAGATCTTGTAAACTGTGTTTTTGTTGTAGTTGGAAAATATAATCCTATTCATAGTATTTAAGCTAAGATAAGCAGGTTTCCATAGTACCAGACTACACGTAGCTGTAAGTTATATGAAATATCCTAAGATTATCATTGGAACTCGTTAGCTGGATGTGTCGTGAATGGGAACACAGGTGGGGACATCCTATTGTATTTCCAACATAAAATTACAGAATATCTTGATAAAATATAAAAACATAAACTGAATAATTCATTTGAAAGTTTCTTTCATTTGCCCTTCACATTCTTTATGACTCTTCCTGTTCACAATTCCTTTATATTTTTACTTCTATTTTCTTCAACTCGAACTTTTAGCTTTCTACTGCAAGGCTCCTCACTTTCTATTAGTCTGTCGACATACGCCACAGATGTACCTGGATCCCAGAAGTGATATTCACTCTGGTCTGGAACCCAGTACTGTTTGCTTCAAACATTGTCGCGTTGTCCATTTAGCGATTGAGTCAAAATAACAACTAGCTAGTGCAATGGGATAAATTTTAATTTATATGTATTGGTTTTTTTTAATTTTCAGATTGATGTTTTGGATTGCAATAGGGGGAAACACGTGTCTTTAGTTTCACTGCTGGCCACCATCTCCGCCTAAAAACGCTTGTAACCTAGTGGCAATATCCAGGCAATCCGTACAGGATCCACACATACCAAAAGAGACTGAATAATCGCAGTCCTGAATATTAATTAAAAGATTTAAACAACCAATACGTATAAATTAGAATAACATTTGTTGTGAATTGTAATGTTTTGAAACGTATTCAGTATTCTACTGCTAGCCACAATGGAAAACCTAAACAGTTTGTAAGTGCACAGAGTACCAAGACGCCTAGTCAGAAAGCCAAGATACCAAGAGAGAGATATCAAATTAATGTTGAATATCTACTAACTGAAATACCGACACAATTAATTACTTAAGTTATTTTAAGACATTAAGCAACGCGTGATTTTTCAAAAAATGGTTGTATTTTTAGTAATAACAGTACTAGTGTTTTAATTACTTGTGTTCTTGTGAGTAAGTAGGTAATCTTCGAAATTACATTACAGTAGCTAAATACATCAATCCATAATTAACATCACATGATAATTATTGTGATAACTGTTAATCGTGACACAATAGATGAATAACCTAATAGTTAAATGGACAACACTGACCACGGACGTCAGGTTTACATCTGTTTCCTTAATGTAAATAAAGATATATATAAATTCTAGGATTCAGTCAAATCTTCTGATGACTCCATAAAGTATGATACCTTTCTATTTCATTGTTTTTATGGACAAAACTTCTGAGGAGTCCCACGCTAGGACGAAACGACCATCCAGTGCCTTCAGATTTTTAATGGTGGTCTCACATTGATCGGTCAATAATCCACTAGAATACCTAAATTGTAATTTTTTTAATGTTTATCATTTTATGAAAAAAGAAACCTACTTTAGCATGAAATAACACTGTGACTTCACAAATTGCATACTTTCCACCAGCGATCATTAATGCACCAAGAAAATTATTCCATCCATCACTACGAAATTCGAATACCGGTAATTGTGCTCCGGTTAAAACAACTGGTTTATCTAAATTCTCTAACATAAATGATAAAGCTGATGCTGTATAAGCAAGTGTATCCGTTCCATGTAATACAACAAATCCGTCGAATTCATTGTAAAACGCGTAAATATCTTGTGCTATACGTTTCCATTCATTCATACTTAAATTAGATGAATCCAATAATGGCCAATATTCTACAATTGTATATAAAATACGATGTCCAGTTTTATCAGTCGGTAAAGCATAAGTTTGTATATGGTCTGATTCAGTTAAACTGGATTCACGTTTTGAAAATTTTGAATGAGTATAACGTGTATGAGGTGAAACTTTAGTTTTTGATAGTCTATGATGTAGGTGTTCAATATTAAATTGGTCTATATGAACCTGAAATCTAAGCAGTAAAATAATAATAATAATAATAGTATTGATAATAAGAAGACATTATGTGACAACGTAAAGTTCATAATATAACACAATCTACGTGCAAATAATTAAAGATGTTGAAAAAAACACATTTTCAACAATATATTTCAGGTGTCTTGGTATGTATACTAATGAAATTTAGATTAAAGTACAATAAAGCATGTACATTTTCGAAAAGAGTAACACTTATGATCGAATGATAAATATCAATGTAAAATTAAATACACTTGTGCCAAAAAGCGGGTAAGCTCGGGTTAAAATCTAAGTTACAACCAAATGTTTTACTCTAGTAAAAGTGTTGGAAACACTTTATGAAGAACTGTTCATACTGCATTTAGTCACAACTTATGGTCATTCAATTTTTAGTCACCAAAAACTACAACCCACTTTAAAGTAGTTACTTAAGGTAACGATGGTGATGTCGATCGTTGTACGACAACATAAGCATGATTTTTATTATTTGTTTTGGTTTCAACCGCTAGAACAATACACCGACAAGCTGGTCAAGGTGAGACTTAAGCTTCATAACTATCGCTCTAAACATCAGGGTGCATAATAACAGTTTATTAAGTAATTATCTTTAGATATTTCCATATTATTGATTCAGTATGCAAAAATATTTAGTTTCTCGTACACATAGAAACAATTAATTGCATAATGGTGAACATAAACAGCTTTGTTACCAATGTTCCTAGTTTGTGGAAAACGTTTTATATTCAAAATATAACTCAACAAGTTGATTGACTGAACTATTTTGAACATATATTAATCACGTTTTCTACTCATTGGGATATTACAAATATATTATTTATTTATAACAATCAACCCAATGCTCAATTTATTCGAAATTATCAAATCAAACCTTGGTAATGATACCTATATATCAATCACCTTTCAAATAATGCCATTCTTGGGATTTTAGTTCGAAATGAACTGTCTGGCATTATTTGTATATTATGCACAATGATTGTTGGCTTTCATGTACACAAATGCAGTGACATCAGAAATAACTGCAAAACATAGAACGTGACTTTATCAAAATCATTATACAATCATAACCTTGAAACAAAAATTTCATTAATTTGATTTTCAGCTAAATCAGATGTATATATGACTGACTAGTCTCAAATCAAAACGACAATCGACCACAAAGCTTTACAGTTTAATTATCCTTCATAGCGTGAAATCAATGCAATAAAAAGTGTAAAATAAGTTTTGCTTTCCTAAAAAAACAAAGCAATTATCTTACTCTGAATCACAAAATGTAGGCATCTTATTTAAGGTGGGAAGAAAAAAGTTTTCCACAGAACAATAAGAACCATTTAGGCATTTCATTCCAATAGTACCACCAGTGTATAAAACAAGAACCCGGGAAACAGACAAACATTTCGGAATTTTTAATGCAAGATCAACTAACGACTGATCAATGATTGGGCTTCCCAAAAAACTGGCCTGAAGAAAAAAACAAAGGAACATAAACACTAAGAACAGTACATCAACTTCAAAAATTTTTTTTTCTGTCAAACTGTTAATATTTATTTATTCATTTCTGCAAGTAAAAGATACAACATCCGAGAAATTACAAACAAGACTAAATATCATTTACTGTTATATCTGTGACCACAAACTATTGTGCTAAAATCTTTTCGTTTATTCTATTTATGCTTAGTTCGAGCTGAAATTCAGAACGAAAGCGAGATCAAAGAACTTTGTATGTAACTTAGAGATCATAAACAACCGTCCAAATAATTCATTTGGTCTTGATGGGCATTTTTCAGACTCTTTTGGTTCCAAATGCTTGGTATTAGTAAACTGTGAACGACTTAGATACTCATTGTTTATTAATGATAGCAACCAAAACACATTTAATGACAAATATCTGTCGTAGGAAAATATCAGAAATACAACATAAATATTTCTTATTGTTTATATATAAAACTTCTAAACAGAAATATTTGGATAGGCGTTTTTATACTCATAGATCTCAGAAGGAGTGTTTTTCTAACTACAGTAGATCAGTCTATATTTACTCTCTGATAAACGTAACAGTGATCCTTCCATTCAATTAAATTAGCTCAGCATTAAACAAATAATCATTGCTTTCATATGCAATTAAGTACTAAAATATAGCACATTGTTTGAACCTTAAAAGTAATGATAGAAATATATTATAGTAACTTGGTGTTAATCAACAATTACAGGATTGTTAGAATAGGGATTTGTGGGGATTGTAGTAATTTTAATAGTTGAATTCATGGGTCTATTCAAGCGAGACCACCATTGAAAATCTGGGAGCACTGAAAGGCCGTTTCATCATTAATGTCTAATTGAAGTCGATCCATTATCTTGCACAACACTTCGTCCATTGTCTGAAGTAGATAACTGTATCCACGCGACACGTATTCGACTTCTCACTAAAACTCCAAGAAATCCATCTTTAGGCCAGTCATTAGTGACATTTATACCGTTGGATGCCGGCTCAGTCGTCTAGAGGTTAGACGCCCGAGTGCGAGACTGAAGGTTCTGGGTTCGAGTCCCGCGTGCAGGATCGTGGATGCGTACTTCCAAGGAGTCCCATACTAGGACTAGACGGTTGTCCAGTGCTTCCAAGTTTTCAGTGGTGGTCTAGCTTAGATCGACTCATGAATTTCATTATTAAAATTACAAGGTTGTTGTTTTCTGAATCCCATACCCACCTATAACGCACAGGTAGCGCAAAACCATTTATCAGGTGTACTAGTCCAATATAACTGAACAGTGGTTTTGTTGTACGCAAAATCATAGCTATAAATGTGCATTCATACCATGAAAAAGCCATTTTTGTTTGATTCGCACTTAAAGACTGTCTTACTGACATCAATTAATTAATGAAGAAAACACTGTGAGTGATAATAACAGGTAAAGGTTTATAGATGAACAGATAAACTCACCACGCCACCACTCAATTCCTCAGTTTTGTTTATTGTTGTGGGTTTTTTTATATTCTGCAAAGAGCTGCAAACTATAAAAAAGTTATTACTGTCAAAGTAATAATACCTAACTCTATAGATTAAAGATAGGTGTAATTACATGGGATAATTATTATCTCACATATTATAACCACAAACGGAGTATAATTTTTCTTATAATGCTCATAAGGTAGATTAAATTTATACCATGGCTTAATCCCATATGATTATTTCAAGTCAGTTAGATTTTCGACAAGACTCGATTGTGGCTTGAACGATATTTAAAAAATCTAACAGAATAAAGCTCAGGTAGTGTTAGCACTTCTCATAGCTTGTCAAGTTTCACCATAAAATAACCAATTATTTTTAACTTCACACAATTTCTGACAAAATCGCTGATAATTCGTCTTTTACTGATGACTTTCTGATCCTTAATGGAGTACTTTTATACAGGGACAACTAATCATACTTTCAACCAGATCACCAAGTCTTATCTATAATCAAATTAAAATTAAGTTGATATTATTTCTGACACTATCTTTAGACTATTTAAAATATTTTTGGTGTTGCATAAGGAGACTGACATACCTGTAAAAATAGTCCCGTTTCAATGAGGTTTCGGCTACAATTACATGACGCTAACCTTGAAGTCGTGTCAACGAAATCATTTGCTTTTTTAATCTTCATCGACGTGAAGCGGGATGTAATTTCAAAGCATCCATTTTTGCTTGAAATTTTAGGTAAAAACTATGCATTTCTAATTTTTTTCACAAAGTTTCGAACATGAAAACCGAAGACTTAAAGCAGTTATTGGTCCAGCAAAATTCAGTAAAAATAAAATACATAAATATTTGAAATTATATATTGATACAAAATATGGATCTTTTTTGTGAGATCAATTAACTTTGATTTCAAAGCCATGTAGACAATGAACATAGTAAAACTATTTCCCCAATCTAATAAAGAAGATGAGCTCAGCATATGAAATATTTAGGATTACATCATGAGACAATTTGAAGACAAGACAAAGCATATATTTGTTTAGTATTTTTGGTCCAGTAAAGTTAAACAGACAGTAGTATACATTTTTATCTACATGACTGAGATAAAATAAAAAAGATGCATCTGAAATGACTTAGTGGTGTGTGGAAAATGTGCTAACAAAATAGTTAAAATTATTTCACAATTGGAGATTCAGATTCTTAGTTCCAAGTTTCAGAAAACGTCAGTGTGAACGTTTACGCATCCCAAGTATCATAAAGAGGGAAAGGTGTGATAGAGTAAGATTTGCAGGAATAAATTTTCTTTTATGTTACTGTATTGAACACCCATATTACAGATTCCGTTTCACAAACCAACTACAGACTATAAATAAAGTCTAAAAGGCCCAAGGTAGTCTCACACAGAATGTGAAGGACTCATTGATAGTCTATTTACTTACTAATATTAACTAAAGGAATATCAAATAAAGATGAAGTCGTCTCTGTATAACATAAAAAAGCAGGAAGATCTGTGATAGCGACAAAAATATGATTCAGAGCTTTTTCAGTCACTAACACTCACTACAATATGTTGTTTGATTTCAAAATTTTATTTTCTGGCCTGAAATATTTCTTTGATACGATATGGTTTTTTGTAAAATAAAAAGCTTCAATGCGAAAGCAATTACTAGGACAGTTTAATTGATTAACCCTTGTTAATTAATCCACAGGCGTAGTATACATTTATTTTACGTGGGCATACTTCATTTGTATATCTGAACGTTATATGCTTGCATCAGTTTATCATAGCTGTCGTTATTTATCAGCTAAAGCAATACTGGACGTCTTAATATCTTTTTCTATGATAAATATAGTTTATTAATTTGAGAGAAAATACATATAGGCAGAACTGACGTGATGTCCATAAACTGGGCCTAACAACTAGGTCTTAGCTGATTGCAGAGTGAGTGGCCTACAAAACTGGTTTTCTCTAATTGTCAACACTAAAATATCATGTTAACTTTAAGTCAATAATGATGTGATGTACGGTGTCCGAAATCTGATACTGATGCACTGTATGCTGCGCAACCCCCCCTCGAACTGAATACTTAAGCGAGAAAGTGTATTGAACTACCGAATAAAATGCGTAAATACTCGCTCATACATATACCACTCTATCCTTAGGAAATTGACCCAATGAAATGCACTTGACCTTTGGGTCACGTCGGATTGCCATCGATTGACATTTTGTTACTTCTGATTGGCTTTCTGTGTAAAATTAATTAACATATAGTCACATCATTTTGTTAGAAAAAACTTATTTTTTTTGGTAGCGATCTTGTCTTCTGATAGCAGTTTATCAGGGGGTTATAGTGACGATTTCGTCTCGTGATCAATCGAACACATCATGTCACTGCATATTAACTATCGATCAGCATTCTTTTATTTCATTCTAACAATCAAAAATTCATTCATAAAATCGTGAAACCCTAGGCAACAGCAATGACTACGAGACTAGTACATCCACTTTTTTGGGCAAGTAGAAGTCATAATGGATTCGATCGATGTAGTCACAGATAAAACATCTTTAAGTGATTATAAATGAATCGAAATTTTAAAATTGACAAATTGTCAAGTCAGATTCAGTGACAAGTCAAAGGGAATGCATCATATGATAAATATTTCGGTTCATACGAAAGTGTAATGATTACAAGTAATGATATAAAAAAGTTAATTAAGAGTATTGAAGTTCGCACGTGTTCACATTTAGTCGAAGCACTAAGGCATGTATTTCTAGAAAACTTTTCGAACCCAACTCTAGAAATTTAGACATGGTATTTCAATATATAGTCGGGCTTACAGCATATTTATCTGATCAGCTGTCATAAGACATGAATAGGAAAAGAACCACTGAATCTCAGTTACACCATACAGGCATCTTGGTCCTCATAACCTTAGAATTCGTCTCATGTGACGAATATTCAATCTCAGAAGGAAAAAATCAAAAGCCATTTCCATTGAGCAATCAAACAATGACAAACGAATATTTTAAATTTGATATACACGGCGCAGCTGCAGTCTGTGGATGAGACGGAAAAAGGATTTTTATGTAAATTGGAGGAAATGTTGGACAAGTCGAAGGTTTCACTGTTTTATTGACGTTGCCGCATCAAAATGATTCCCAAGAACCACTCGTAGCTAGTTCTTTAAATTTACTTGATGGTAAAGGACCTACACAGTGATTTTTTTCATCTCCTTTCTGCATGATTTTGTCTCAATAGGGTTTCGCGTTAATGCTACCATAAATTCGTGATATTGTATGCGTTTGCTTATATGAAGATCCTTTTAAGATTCTAATATATCTAAATTAATATAAATGAACATCAGTATCTAGAGATCTTTGTTCGGCCGATAATCTACTATCATAATCTTACTTTGAAACTATATTCTGCCCAAACGCTGAAGTTTTGTGTCCTCAAATGTTGTTTCGCAAAGCAAGTTAACCAATTTAACCTACAAGTTGAACAAAAAAGTGTGCTTCTTGTTTGCTTGAATACTGTTTCATTTTAGACCGCTACGTTTTTGAAATAAAACCAAATTCCTCACTCAATTTAGGAACAATGTTATAATTTGTGTCTTACAAATATATAACGTAATGATACCGCCAATTAGAGAACAGTGCATTATCAAACGGACCAGTGCCGCATAAACCCGTACGAGCAGTCTGGAGTCCTGATCGGTTCTTGTTCCCGCCTAGCCCTGCCTGTTGAGTCCAGAACATCAATCTTAGCCTTTACGACATGAATCATGTATTTCAAACATACTGGCTTTATATACAAACCAAACA